GGCGCTTGGGGGGTCGGACTGCCCCCACTGCGGAGATATGAGCCTCCGGACTCTCAAGCTCCGTGTGGCCATCGTCCAAGGCGATGAACTCGCCCAACTAGCCCTGCCGCGCTCTTCCGCTGCAGCCTCTTTCGAGCTAAGGAGGAAAGTGCCGCGAGCTTCTGATGTGGATCTGTCAGGGTCAGGTGACGAGCCGGCTCAGTGCCCACGCGCTCCTCACCCCCTGCTGCAGTTCCCCTTCCAGTGCGCTCCATGACCTCTTTTCTCCGCCCCTCCCCCATCGCTCAAGATGTGGTGTCCTTCGGTGCCATGGAGGGCGCTGAAGAGGTTGAGGCCCGGCCCCTTTTTCCCCGAGGTGCACGATGAGATAACGAAGTCGTGGATCGTGCCGCTCACCAGTCGAGTGCACAACACGGGATCCTCCCCCCTGTCTTCTGTGGACGGCGCTGACCAAGTGGGGTATGTTAAACTTCCCCCCGTGGAAGAAGCCGTTGCTGCCCATCTCTGTCCTTCAGCCGAACTGGAGAGTAAGAAACAATGCATCTCTCCCCTCTAAATCTTGCCACGCCACTGCAAACTTCGCCGGCAAGGCTTTCTCCGCGGCGGGCCAAGCAGCTTCAGCACTGCACGTGATGGCGATACTCCAGGTGTATCAGGCCAAGCTGCTCAAGTCTCTGGATGAGGACGGGCCGGACCCTGAAGTGTTCAAAGAGCTCCGACACGCCACGGATCTGGCCCTCAGAGTGACGGTGGTGACCGCTCGAACGATCGGCCGCAACATGGGGAACCTTGTGGTGCTAGATCGTCACCTGTGGCTTACTCTGACTGAGATAAAGGACTCTGAAAAAACGGCCCTTCCGGACGCTCCCGTGAATCCCTCAGGTTTCTATGGAGCAGCGGTAGAGACGTTCACGGAGCCCTTCGTTGAAGTGCAGAAACAGTCGAAGGCTATTAACCACTTCCTGCCAAAGCGCACCGGCGCGAACTCTCCTGCGCGTTCCCGCTCTTCTGCACCCAGCGCCGATGACGAGCCACTGAAAAAGTCTGCTCGCTCTGCTGTGTGTGTTCACCACGCCCCCCTGCCTGTTGCGGGCGGCGAGAGCAATTGTCATGTTTGTGTTTTGACTGTTCCACTATGCAGTGCAATAAAGTTGAAAAACATACAAAACTCACCTCAATATCAAAGCAGTTCTCCTCCTCTCACTCCCCTCTCCCCCATCACTCACTCTCACACTTGTGTGGTATTAAACTCCCCGCCCCCCAACGGTGAGTTATCCCTCACGGTGTGTAGTCCGCCTTGCCCGCTGTCACAGTTCATAGAAGTGTGGCAGGCAGTGCCAGGGGTATCAGAGTGGGTTATGAAATCAATAAAGAACGGCTACACGCGCAGGCCGCCCCGTTTCAACGGTGTGTTAATGTCCACTGTACGGGAGCGGAATGCCTCAGTTCTGCAAGAGGAAATGCACAACCTCCTCGCAAAACGCGATGTAGAGACAGTGCCCCTAGCAGACAGCGAGAGCGGCTTCTACGGTCGCTATTTTCTGGTACCAAAGACGGCGGACTCCGCCTAATCTTTGACCTAAGACCGCTGAATCGCGCGCTTTCAAAGCGCTCGTTCAAAATGATTACGCTGAGACAAATCCTCTCACACATCAGACCGAGAGATTGGTTTATCTCTGTGCATTTAAAGGATGCTTATTTTCACATTCAGGTAGCCCCTCGCCACAGGTGTTTCCTGAGATTTACATTAGAGGGGATAGCGTACCAATTCACGGTCCTACCCTTTGGTTTATCCCTGGCTCCTCGTACGTTTACGAAATGCATGGATGCCGCTCTCTCTCCTCTGAAGCAGAGCGGAATGCGCATCCTGAACTATCTCGATGATTAGCTAGTCTTAGCCCAATCAGAGAGCACGCTGCTCACCGACAAGCTCAGACTCCTCGCTCATCTTCAGAGCTTAGGGCTGACTGTGAATATGCAAAAGAGCATGCTGGTACCGAGCCAGAACATCTCCTTGTTAGGAGTGGAGCTGAATTCAATCAATATGCGAGCGTGTCTGTCGGAGGAGCGCACACTAAAACTAATCAGCTCTCTCGCAGTCTTCAAGTTAGGGCACTCTCCCCCACTGAAATGCTTTCATAGGACGCTCGGCCAGATGGCTGCCGCCTCGACAGTGTGCAAACTATAGGGCTCCTACATATGTGACCGCTTCAGCTCTGGCTAAAGGTCCGGGTGCCACAGAGCGCATGGCGCACGGGCACCTTGCGCATCAAAGTGACGCGCGACTGCTGGGATGCGCTGATCCCTTGGCGCGATATGACTCTGTATCGCCGGGGTGTTCTTATTGGCTAAGTGATCAGGAGAAAGACTTTTACAACAGATGCATCGAGCATGGGCTGGGGAGCCGTATGCGACGGCAGACCATGCAGCCTTCGGGACGTGGTCAGAAACGGAGAAGTTGTGGCACATAAACTGTCTGGAGCTCCGTGCTGTACACCTAGCGCTCGAGTGCTTTCTCCCGGACATTCTCCACCGTCACGTTCTCATCAGGATGGACATCATGACAGTGGTAGCGTTTATAAATCACCAAGGGGATGTGAGCTCGCGGCCGCTGCTGCGGCTGGCGAGAGACATTCTTCTGTGGGCAGATCGACACCTCTCCATCCGGGCATTACATGTCCCCGGACGCCTGAATTACGGCGTGGATTTACTGTCGAGGGGCGGGGTAATCCACGGGGAGTGGAAATTACACCTTTTGACAGTCAAAATGATTTGGCGTGTATTCGGCAGGGCGGAGGTGGATCTGTTTGCATCAACGGAGAACACTCACTGCCCGCTGTTTTATTCACTGACACACTCTCCCCTGGGAGTGGATGCACTAGCTCACAGCTGGCCGAAAGTACGCAAGTATGCTTTTCCTCCAGTGAAACTTCTGCCTCACGTGCTTTACAAAAATCAGAGAGGAAAGGGAATCTGTTCTTTTAGTGGCACCGAAATGGCCCAATCAGCCGTGGTTCCCAGAACTGGTGGAGATGCTGGTAGCCCATGCAGGAATGTAGAGTAATACACTTTTGCTGTGCCCTGTACGTGCGGTGCGCATTTATACCGAGCGCTGTAGACAGTTCAGGCTCTCGGACCAGCTATTTGTATGCTTTGGAGGGCGCACAAAAGGCTTGCCTGTGTCCAAACAAAGGCTGTCACACTGGATCGTCGACACAGTTGCTTTGGCTTATGGCTCTAAGGGCGTGAAATGTCCTATAGGGGTTCGGGCCCACTCAACCTGCGGACTTGTGTCCTCGTGTGCCTGGGCAAATGGCATATCTATTCAGGACATTTGCATGGCGGCAGGCCGGTCGTCACCCAGCACTTTCGCGAGGTTTTATAACCTAGATGTGTCGGCACTTGCCTCACATGTGCTGTCAGTGCGAGCAGCACACGCGCCTACTCAGCCTCAGTTATGATCTGAGCTGCTTGCCTCAGTGGTTTCGACTAGGTCGTATACACCCCTATATTGACGTACCACAAACTCAATGCTGTCCCTATCAGCTTATCACATTGTTATGATATTGTTCATCACGTCTTTTAGGACATGATCACCATCATACTCTGCTTATTTGAGTACGATCGTTGCATCATAACACATAATTTCATTGAAATTAAACAAACTTCAAATAATCTATATGTGATGGCGCCGGAGACGCAAGGGCGTGAAATGTCCTATAGGGGTTCGGGCCCACTCAACCCGCGGACTCGCGTCCTCGTGGGCCTGGGCAAATGGCATATCTATTCAGGACATTTGCATGGCGGCAGGCTGGTCGTCACCCAGCACTTTCGCGAGGTTTTATAACCTAGATGTGTCGTCGCTTGCCTCACATGTGCTGTCAGTGCGAGCAGCACACGCGCCTACTCAGCCTCAGTTATGATCTGAGCTGCTTGCCTCAGTGGTTTCGACTAGGTCGTATACACCCCTATATTGACGTACCACAAACTCAATGCTGTCCCTATCAGCTTATCACATTGTTATGATATTGTTCATCACGTCTTTTAGGACATGATCACCATCATACTCTGAGCACCGTAGTATTCAGTAGTATTTGGAGGAAAGGGTAATTCCCATAGCAATGTCTCGTTCCCTCATCTCAGGGAACTGAGGTTACGTGAGTATCTGAGAGCATTAGCTAACAACGTCACACCTCATAGAAGGCAATTGATCCAATGAGAAAGTGTACTTCCTGGGGGAAAGTTTACGACCCTTTGTCTTCGAGCATGATGTTTTGCAAATGTAGTTTGATTTTATGTTTGATGAAGAAACTATAAAAAAAAATGTATAATACCAATATGTTGCATAGGTATCACCATATAATGCAAAACATAATCCAGGAATTTTCAAAAGGAGATAGATACCAAACATAGCATAACTGTGTTTGATTGAACGTGTTGTTGAAGCTCGTGAGCAAGATGGGATTTGAATTTTGCCGTCCGAAATTGTAAGTGGTTTAAAAGTGAAAAAAGTAAAAAGCCTGATATTCTATTACGAGTCCTGATTCTAACACAAACCCACAGTGTTCAACATAGTTTTGCAGTTCAGAGTTTCAGAGCAGAAACAAAAGCTGCTGCTCTTCGTATCATTTTTTGTTGCCTCCTTTCACATTCATATGTAAATGGCACTAGCTTATTTTATATTATTAGACTGAACAGTCAGAAAAAGCCCATGTGTACACCCGCCCATAGACCCTCCCATCAAAATTAGGACAGAAGTGGTCGAAAGTGGACAAAAGAGATGGATGAAAACACCAGGTGTAAATGGGAACATGTCTCTGTCGTCCACTTGTGGTCCGATCGACCAAAACGCATCTTAAAACCAGGTGTAAACAGGTCCGTAGAAGTGAAACTCTACATTCCTTTGAGTTGTAAACTAGTCTTACCTTAATGTCATGTCTTTGTAACCAGAGGCCTGGTTCTGCCTGGGTGTTAGTTTGGGGGTAGTTCACATAACTCTAACTCATAGTGTGCTTGTTTGGTAAGAATAATAATTTTCTAATATTTTATAACAGCAATGTCAAATTCAGTTCCTGGAGGGCCACAGAGTTTAGCTCCAACTCTAATTGAACACACCTCAATCAAGGTCTTCAGGTCTTGAAAACTCAAGGTTGGAGCAGATTCGAGCTAAGCTCTGCAGGACTGTGACCCCCAACATAAGCTGAGTTTGACATTCCTTTTTTAGACATAAATGACAGATTTCTTTATTATTGATTTCCGTTCTACTGGTTCTTTTAAACAGGTGTATTTGTTTCTTTTCACACTAGACCTGAAAGAGGAGCATGAAGTACTGAATGAAATGCAAGATAAGGATCATTATAAGAAACATCATGATTTCAAAACTGGACAAAAATCATTTAGTTCAAAGAGTGCAAAGACTTCCTCAGGAAAAAGAGCTCAAAAGACTGAAACTAGAAGTCATTTCACCTGCCAACAGTGCGGAAAGAGTTTTGAACAACGAGGAAAACTTAAAGTCCACATAAGAATTCACACCGGAGAGAAGCCCTACACCTGTAAACAGTGTGGAAATACTTTCAATAAAAAAGGAAACCTTAAAAAACATATGAGAATGCACACTGGAGAGAAGCCTTACACCTGCAAACAGTGTGGAAAGAGTTTCAGTCAACAAGGAAATCTTAAAGTCCACATGAAGGTTCACACCGGAGAGAAGGCTTACACTTGCAAACTTTGTGGAAATAGTTTCATTGAAAAAGGAAACCTTAAAAGGCACATGAAAATTCACACTGGCGAGAAGCCTTACACATGCCCTCAATGTGGAAAGAGTTTTACTCGACAAGGAAGCTTTAACATGCACATGAGAATTCACACTGGCGAGAGGCCTTACACATGCCCTCAATGTGGAAAGAGTCTTACTCGACAAGGAAACTTTAACAGGCACATAAGAATTCATACCAAAGAGAAGCCGTTCACATGCTCACAGTGTGGAAAGCGTTTCACTCAGCAAGGCAACTTTAACAGGCATATGAGAATTCACAACAGAAAGAAGCATTAAATCTGCAAACTGTGTGGAAGAACTTCACAATTAAACTAAACCTTAGGTATCATATGAACAGTTACACTGGTGAGTAGGGTTGCCAACCCTTCAGTATAATACAGAATTTCCCCGTATTTAATGCATCAGAGAAGTATTCCGTATGAAAGCAATACGGAACGCAGTTTGACCCGTATTCGCAGGCATACGCCGTATGACTATCTAGACTAGAGGTGGGCAAACTATGGCCCGAGGGCCACATACGGCCCGCCGGGAGTTTTCATCCGGCCCGTGAGGAGTTGGTCCAAAATGGCTAATTTGATGCAATGTCAGTAAAATCCAATAGATGGCGCTGTAGCCTGCAGTGCGGTGTATATCCCCTGATTTTACACTGAAGCCACTGGAGCTGATCGCAGCCATTCTAGTCAATGCTTGTGTTATACCAGCTGTGCCGCGGCACGTTTCTGAAGCGTCCCAGAAGCAGCTCTCTACGCCACTTCGCTATAGATAGGTGCCTAGTCTATTTTTGACGGACGCCGCGTCCAAGCCGCACAGCTCAAATACAAAATAAAAAATCTAAATGTACACCCTGTGCAAAACTGGCATAATTGTAACTTGTTTTAAAAATGTGAAAGTGATCATTTGTTTTAAAAAAAACCTTATATTGGTTGCCTACTATTTTCAAAATGCTTTATGCTCTGTAGACCTTCCAGTAGAACAAATGCCAGTGTTATCCTGCTCACGAGCACTGTAATTTAGTGGGGAAAACATGGAAATAATTTGTTGTTTTTTCTTGCAAAGATTACGTTTTCCACACGTATTTTTATGAAAATGGATATAGTTCTTTTTTCTGGTTTATAAATCAAGTTTTAATCATCTGAAACGTGCTGCGATTTCCAAGGCGACCTATTTAAAGCAATCAGGTCAAGCGCAAAGCGCGCACATTAGGATTGGTGACGAATGAGAAAAGGCAAGTGAGTTATTGCGCATTTTCCAGCAACCACGCTGCTAGTTTCAGTTTCTCTTTAAATATTTAGGTTAGGCATTTGTAATAAATGTTTATAGTGAATGCCCCTATAATTTGTGTTTGTTTTTTACTTATATTTTTATTCCTTTTTCTGTTCTGAACACTGCTACATTTACAGGATTTTTTGTGAAGTGAGGGGAATATAAATACATGTTTCTAATGTTTGTAAATATTGTTTACATTATTTATGAATTAAATGATAAAATGTGTCTTATACATCAATCGACTTGTACACCAATGCAACTTATCTGTGTCATAAAGTGCTCATAAAAATAAGGCAGAGATGGTACAAGAGTAGAACTGCCATGTATGTACAAGTACAGCACAGTAGTAGTCAATTTAATAATAAAAAAGCTTCATTTGTCATACACATTATGCAGCCCCTCACTTGGTGTGGAAAACTTAATGTGGCCCTTGAGTCAAAAAGTTTGCCCACCCCTGATCTAGACCATACAAATAACAAATTAATCATTCTTTTTGCACAAATCATTGTTTGATTTGCGAACGCCGCCTGGTCCCTCCCCTTCACCATCCGCGTTTTGATTTCGCCAAATCAGTTTGGGTGAATGCAAAGAACGTGATTATTGATCATAAGCACAACATCCAGCAAGGATGTTGCAATCTACCTGATCAAGACGTCTTTCAGTATTGTAAGTTAATGTTGTTAAATAGAGAAACAAAATTACACATTTTTAAAATTGTAACTTCTAGCATATTCCTAAACCTGGACCTCATTAATACTGAAGAACAAATTCAAGCACCAAAAGCAGCCCACACACTCCAAGTTCTCTTTAATTGAAAAATATTTGTTTTCATGAATTCATAGGCTATATGGTTGCAATAATGACATTTAAAATTTTGAATTAAAATGTTGTTTAAAAAATGCTTTATTGATTAAAGTTTCATAGACGTTTAGTTGTTATACTTTCAAATTTTATGCCATATTGTATGTAATTAAACAGTATATTCACCTCCTAAATTACTACACCACTTGTGCAGTCACAATTCTATAGTGGTCAAATTTACTCCGGCCGATGCTTTGTGTATAACATGCGTGACATTTTTTTGCATGACATGTAAACTTTATTTTTAGAATAATTGTACATAGGTTAAGCAAAACAAATGTGATTATTTCTGAGAACCTTTTATACACGTACTTAACTGTTATATAATTTTTTTGTATTGTATGCTGTTTTATGCATGCTTTATGATAAAACCACTAGTTAATGTAACCTCACCTATACCATTTTTGGTATTGACGAATTTGTCTTTTGATTATCTAAATGACTATATTTTAGGAATATTTAATAGTTTGTGCATCAACACCCAATCCAGTTACATATGCAAAATACATATTTTGTCAGAGCCCAGTGGAGCCCTGTTCTCCCCTCTGTCCAGTGCTTATACACTGACACAGTCAAATCTGTTCACCATCGTTTATCACGACTGGAAAGGCATGTGAACTTATGATACGGGGTTAATTTGTCTCATTTCACCTTATATATTGCCACATTTGAATTATATTATTTCACCTTAGACCTGATGGCACTGAAAAAGGAGTCAAGAACTAAATGAAGTGGAAGAGAAAAATCAGTATGTGATGCATCATGATTTCATGATTGGAAAAAACACAAGACTGAAAAGATTTCTTCACGAAAAAAGAGCTCAGAAGACCAAATCAAACACAAAAACAAACACCAAGAACTGCAAAACTTTGGATTTTTTTTTTTTTTGAAGGTTAGCACATCAGGGGCAGTGGCATAGCGTAAATTGTGTGGGTAATAACCTACTGTATATAACAACGAATGTGTCTTTGTCAAAAATGTGTTGTATTCCCATTTGTAAATGTTTTACATTTAAGCTATCCATAAAAGTTATAGTGCAAAAGGGAAAAAGCATCTAGTAAAGGATTATATGGAATAATATCACATTAGTCAAAATTGCTTTGAGGGAAAAAAAAAAACTTGTCATCAAATCCTTTAAATTTTATGGTACAGAGGTTCAGAAAAAAGCAAAATATAAATAAGAAAACATAAGAAGCTATAAAATTATAGTAAAAATGTATATGTACAATTACAAAAGAAAACAAATTATAGGCTAATGGCATTCGTTATAAGCAACATATAAACGTCTAGCAAAAACACATTTATTTAAAGAGAAACTGAAACGTACCTACATCTCTCATTTGGCATAAATACAAATGCTTCCCACGAAAGACTCTGGCGTGATCACTTGGATTTTTTCCTTATGACAGCAGAAATACTTAAAATACTCTGCCATTTTTTGTCATATACAGTAGGTAAGAATAAGACATTGTTCAAAAGGGTTTGTGTATACTGTCACGGGAGGAGCAAACAACAGACACAGTGGGTGTGGCGTCAGGCCTCGGAGAGGCTTTTATTTCCCAAATCATATATAACAGTGTCAAGAAAAGGGAATAAAGTGTCCAAAATAAAACAGGGGATCTGGTGTCCTCGTCGTGCTGCCGGGTTAGTGAAGGTGGGGCAGTGTTCAGGAAGGAAGGGTCCAGGTAAGGGGCGGAGTCCGGTGGCCGCACGCGCTCCCCTCTCCTTAAGCAAAACAAATGTGATTATTTCTGAGAACCTTTTATACACGTACTTAACTGTAGACACGGAAATGACATACTCTGTGTGGTACAGAACAAATATTTTGCACGTCCCTTATTCAGTCCCTTATTTTCCTATAAAGAATCACAGTTGTTGTCCCTTATTTTCATTTTCTGAAGTTGGCAACCCTACTGGTGAGAAGCCATTTTCTTTTGATTAGTGTGGAAAGAGCTTCAGACATCGTATAAACCTATAAACAATTCAATAGTTACTTGTAACGGCTGGACAAACCAGACACCATTATTTGTTACAATTTACAAACAATCCACTAACACTCTACACCAAACAGGCAAACCATTTTTAAAAAAAAATTTTTTAAAAAAGAGGTTTTTTTTTTTACCCTCCCCCCGAAATTGAAATAACCCCAAAAGAACAGAACAGACCTTTGGTTACCACAGTAACCAGATAAACTTTATGACTTTATGAGTCTCCGTAAACTTTGAGTCTCCCTCAAAATTCCCTATTGAAACTGACACACACATCCCATAGAAAAGGACTTCTTCCCATGAATCCATAGGCAAACCTTTCTATGAATGAACAAGCATATTCCTTGGACATTGTGTACATTATTACAGCTTTTGTATATACAGTATATATATATATATATATATATATATATATATTTATATATATATATATATTTTTTTTGTATTGTATGCTGTTTTATATATGCAAAAGGGAAAAAGCATCTAGTAAAGGATTATATGGAATAATATCACATTAGTCAAAATTGCTTTGAGGGAAAAAAAAAAACTTGTCATCAAATCCTTTAAATTTTATGGTACAGAGGTTCAGAAAAAAGCAAAATATAAATAAGAAAACATAAGAAGCTATAAAATTATAGTAAAAATGTATATGTACAATTACAAAAGAAAACAAATTATAGGCTAATGGCATTCGTTATAAGCAACATATAAACGTCTAGCAAAAACACATTTATTTAAAGAGAAACTGAAACGTACCTACATCTCTCATTTGGCATAAATACAAATGCTTCCCACGAAAGACTCTGGCGTGATCACTTGGATTTTTTCCTTATGACAGCAGAAATACTTAAAATACTCTGCCATTTTTTGTCATATACAGTAGGTAAGAATAAGACATTGTTCAAAAGGGTTTGTGTATACTGTCACGGGAGGAGCAAACAACAGACACAGTGGGTGTGGCGTCAGGCCTCGGAGAGGCTTTTATTTCCCAAATCATATATAACAGTGTCCAGATAAGGGAATAAAGTGTCCAAAATAAAACAGGGGATCTGGTGTCCTCGTCGTGCTGCCGGGTTAGTGAAGGTGGTGGCGGTGATGAGGCTCCATTCCGTTCAGGTGTGCACCATCACACGCCGCCAGCCCTG